CACGACATCATCTGCATATTTCAAAATTCGTGCGGGAGAAACACAGGGAATATCACATATATAAGTGACAAACAAGTATGGGGATAGCACAGCTCCTTAAAGGACCCCGGAGTTGTTGACTAAAGGTTTCGATATGGCCTTCCCCAATCTAGTAGTTTGTACCCTATCGGTAAAATAGTTGGATAACCAAGCCAACAACTGCTTGGGACATTCAAACGATTCCAGTTTTTATAACAACTTAGATCGAGGAATGGAATCAAATGCAGAAGAGTAGTCGAGAAAAACACACCGAACAGATTCAACAGAGCTGTCCAACGATTTAGTGATGAAATAAATCAGGGTAGAGATTGCGTCCAGGGTGGATCTATTTGGCTTGTAAGCAAACTGTAATGGATCACCGGGNTGGACTGCTGAAGGCGTTTGAGGATGGCCTTTTCAGTCAATTTAAGAGCTGAAGATGTTAATGCTATGTCACGAAAACATTTGGAGAGGATAGAGGATTTGGATACTTTGGGGACTGGTATGATTGTGATACTGTTAGTAAGACCTTCTATCCAGCGAGGCTTCATGTTTTGCTCACATCCAAGCCAATTATGTATTTACAACGGAAGGTCAAAATGCCTGATTCTGCCATCTCGTATTTGTGTACTCATTTCATATTCCTGTAGAATACCTGGCTTGGTTGCACGGTCAGGCGTATGGCCGAACGAATCCTTGTACACCACCCCGTATGATTCAACACCGGAATGACCAGGTCACTCACCAATGCAATGGGTTCACACCTAACTGAAACAAATTACACCGTGAGGCGTTCCACCCACTGTATAGGGTTCGCTTTTGTAGAATATTCTATAAAGACGCTCAAGTCACGTTTGTTTCGGTTAGTACCATCTAACCCACCCACAAAACATCGAATCACGGTATTGATTCATCATAGACTGACCGGTTCTGAAAGGGCTGTCCAAAGAAATTTACCCAGTGTTGCAAATGGGATGTTGGTGAAGAAGATGCTCTTCCTCGGCACAAGTATATGAATGAAGTGACAAACGATTACCTGACAAATGCCAAGAACTACAGAACCGGTCATGTGCTTCCGATGAAATTTCGTGGAGTCATTCATACACTACTTATTGCTGAATATGTGTATATATATCACTGTATTATCATTAAGAATCGCTGGAAACGAGCTTGTTCGCCACTTTATGTTTTAGTTGCAATGATCTCTTTGGGATTGTTTAGACAAAAGCCAATCTCTGGTAAGCAATTCAAAATGCTGACCAGTAGAGCCCACTGAATGTGACGTTGGTGTGACGTTTCCGTTGGATGCTTGAAAGGGCGTTGGACTTTCGGCTGCTCCTTTGTATTCTATTCTGCAAGTAACTCAAGGATATGATTTGGTGAAGTTCACTGGGAAACTATTTGGAAAACGATGTCTAGCCTCAACTGCTTACGAGTCCTAACAAAAAAATTTCATTTTCCAATCCTATTTCCAAGTTGGTTGAGGTATGGAATAAGTGTTGATCATTTCACCATTTTAACAGTCATTTCAGTTACTTCTTTTCATAATTATTTCGGTCCAGTTAAAGGATCGTACGCCGTTAACAGTAAGATACCCGAGCCACCGATAAAGTCGCTGCGGAGACAACGGGAGCGCACATATAAGTCTCTCAATTATCCAACTTTCAGGCACTTGCTAAGGCTTCTCCGGGCGGAAATAGACCGATAAGATGCCTTCTTTGACTAGATTTTCAAGACTGACAATCGTAAGAACCTATGGCATGGCTTCACTAGGGAAAGAACAAAATTTAAAATTGACCTACAAGCTGCTATTTCTGTTTTTCCATAAGGTATTTATTTATACAGTTAAATCTTTTCAGGTTCGAGAATAGGAAGTCTAATATGCAGTCATGGTTATGAAAATATTATGTATGATCTTCCCTTAGTCCACGGTATTATATAGTTTCACAAGCAGTTGAATGAGAGGCTTCTTAGTGTTTAGACATATCCGCGTTTGTAAGATTCAATGGTGGGAAGGAAGAGAGTTCCAACTGATACACAGTCGTAGATTGACGGTGGCAGTCCAGCCAACATTTTTGAACCATAACTCTTTGTGGTCGCTTTGCGCAAGCGGTCGTATGTATTCCAACCCCCCCAGTTACATGTTGATTGTTCTTGCTTTTATCTCCCCAAAAGTTAAGAATTATGACACATACATACTATCTCGTACAAATGTTTGCCGTCCTTCTCTCTGTTCCACAATTTGCACTTATGCCCACAAGCTGAGCGAAGGATGATGGGTCGTTNNTGGGTCGTTTTATGATATCTTCTGACCAAAATGTTGTATTTTCGTGTGACGTGTTGCATGACAATTGGTATATGTATTGGATGTAACGTAGAGTCATTGTAGATCGGGATGAGGATGTTGGTGTTGGTAGGTTCTCCGAGCTGGAATGTTGTCCGTTGACGTTTTGTAGCCTGGCTAGGTAACATCATCAGTGTATGAAGTCTTTTCAACTGTACTGTAATCTGTTGTGCCGACAAATGTTGCTCAACATCCGCCGGCTCATCGAACATTCACAATTCAACCCCCCGCACATAAAATGCGTGTCCTAATGGCTTACAAGTCAGTAGTGCAAACCGAACTGATGAGAATTATCGAATCAAGATTTTCTTCTAACAAGAGAAACTCCGTACGCTGTCAGTTAGTTGTTGGCTCCTTCGGTTTGGAAAGGAAACGCACACTCCGGCTACTTGAAACTATTTACCAGATTTTTCATGTTTCATCAAACGCAAACAGCCAACACCACCTGAGGGGGAAATTCGCATGTGTCGTGAAGCAGCACATAATATCGAGCATTTCATTCCAAGACAGAGCGCAACCGGTAAGACTAGCCCTTTGGACGTAAGAAGCCCTTTACATACTCAACGCTTCCAGCGGCTAAACTAGGGCATACGATGTCGATTACATTGAGTATTACTTAGCCGCAGATGGAGAACTGACCGCATCTGTGTTGATCTATTCTTCAAGCACGTCTGTGACCCAATATACCCAGGTCACACTGCTAGAGGTGTTTGAGAACGTCATTCGAAATAGCCCGCTCACCTGTTAGACACTGATCGTAAGACCAATCCGGGAAACACTTTCGAATTTATTTACCCTCAAAACAATCAGGTATCACGTGTATGGAATTTATCCACAACAAACGCATCCGCTTACGAATCTGTGATCAACGTGTACAGACATAGTTGGTCCTGGCACCTCAGCTGCCTTGACCTGGTGTGAATAAAACAACGTCAGTTACACCCCGGTTCTGCTTGAATCCACACGCAATTTTGTTGTCCTGTCAAAACGATAATCAATCCACCCCCATGCCCCCCCCCCCTCACACAGACTCGGACACGTGACTTTCAACCTAGCCAATGGCTTAAACATGTGTACTGTTTTTGTCACATGATTGACAACACCATGAGAAAGCACTTGTTGACCATTCACCGTTTTTATCAAGCTGTATTCCAATTTAGAAAACGGTATTCGCGAAGAAATTTCTTTTCGATATATCGCATCAGGCGTTTACATATATAATTCCAATTGTATTCCAATTGTTCAAAAGAATATCACAGTGCAGACGACCGAATAGCTTGCTCAAACTGAATGACAGTTATACTGTGCAGTTAAACATAAAACCATCATTAGACACGATTCATTGACGTGATCCAGGTCAGTCTTTATGCTGATGAACTCGGGTGTAAACTAACAAGTAGGAGACGACCGTTTGTGATCAGTGATCATGATTAAAAAGAGTTATGTTTTACGGCAGTCGTGTATCCCACATTCCATTTACGCGGTCCGTTGATATTGGTGGTGGTATTCATACGCGTGAGAGAGCGAGAGAAAGAGTGACCAATGCCACATCCGGGAAAAGTGCCAGGTAACACGGAACTTACGGACTAACTCCACGAACAAGTCGGTAAACTGCTTCCAGCGGTTGAGTGGACTTCAAAGGTCGGAGAAATTCCAGGGCCTGGCAAGCGCAGAGCAATTCAATAGCCAGTACTGAAACAGAGCAAGGAATTTACAGGTGAAAAATGCGCTGTTCCACAGCATTCCTTTTGACTATTCAGTCTTAAGGTGCTACATTAAAAGGCAGGTCAATGTCGGGTAGATTATATACTCGTCGCCGAAGGAGTGCTGAAGAAATTTGATCGGAACCACAATTCTTCACAATTTATCTTCCAGATATACAATGTAAAACACAGAAAATTTAAAAAGATTTTAATTTTAGCGGCAAAGGATGGATGAACGTGGGGGAATGCACACACAAGTGCACCTGAGCACGATATTCTATGATATTAGGTCGTACACTTCACATCAATAAACAGTGCAACTTGATACGTTGAACCAGACTGGTCTTTCCCCCTAGAGGAAATAAAAACTGAGTTGGATCTACTGCGTAGCATATTGTTGTGGAACAGCTATCGGTAGAATGCATGTATTGCGCAATGAATGAAATCAATTTATCCGAAGTAAAGACATGCGCAATTCTATTCACTTTACTACTCCCGAGCGACAGTTCAGATGAAGTTTACAGGAAAAAACTCGGCAGAGCCTCAAAGAACACTTGTAACATTACAAAGATAGCACTATATAACGGATGTCGCCCTGCACCTCACTCATCTCACTCCGAACTCTAGGATTATAACTTGGTTGGAAGCATTCCGAACCAGACTGTTACATGATAGTAATAGTTGTGCTATATTGTGAATAATGAAAATTAAAAACAGGCCGATCATCTGTTTGGCGTGAGGAAAGCCGACAGCTGAAAGGAATTCTCTGCTGTGCGCGGTCTTTTCAATGAACAACAATAAAAATGTTATGTTTCGTTGTATTTCTCCATCATGCAGTGTCCCGTTTAAACCTTGAAATCGAATTCAAGAACAGTGAACAGTTCAACCATGTCGTGTCAATTTGCTCAATATGTCAAGAATGTGCAAAAGTACATTTGCGATACAAGGAGCTCACCGTACAGGATCTGTGTCTATATGATTGACAGAACAGGATCACAAAGTTTATAAGAAGAGTACATTACCTATTCTCCACTAAACGTACAGCTTTTCTGATTTTTTCTAAAAAATTATCTACGAAACAGACGATGGCGAGAAAATCTAGCACCCTTTCATTGGTGGCGCAAGTTACATCAAGTTGTAAAAGCCCTCCAGGACGTGGAGTAAATGTGGTCCGGCGAGAGCTTTTTTACATTGGGGAGATCACAGGAAAACGGACTGGTATTTTGCCATACTTCTCAGCCGGTTGATGGTACCTGATTTCGCGTTTTTTCCTTAGTCGCGCAAACTATTTGAGGTTAAGACGTATCATGTGCAATTGAAATGGCTAAAAGGAGCTCTGCGAAACCGGATGTGGTATTTTGTTCGCCGACCATCGGCCATCATTGATATCACACGCACTATTATTTTATTACGGAAGGTTTATTCATGCATTAAATCAGTCTACTGTGTATACCAAAACAGTCTAAATGCCATCACTTCTGACGGAAATACACTGGTTTATACGGTTCGTATATAATTCAATTTTGGAAAACGTTTTATTCACCACCTGTCATGTGTTTTGGTGTCGATTCGGGCGTTTCGTCATTTATCAAAATGCATATCTGAGAGGGCGTTTTAGCAAAATCACCATGTTGGATATTATATGTGATTGTCGTGTACCAAGTGAAATCACTGTATGTTTATCGATGGTGCCGATCGGGTGTGTCCATTTTGTACTTTTTAATTATGCATAGTCGAAACAAGTGGGGAATAAATATCGCACCGTCGGGTAGATATTGTTTATGTCTGAATGTGATACGAATAAGAACACAGAATGCAGGTGAACATATGTTTTCAGTGAATTCCTTTTCAAGCCTTTACAATCACGTTTATATGAAAGAATGTCCATGGGGTCAAAAATAAAGGTGGATGAGACATGTGTTTGTCAATGAGCTCAAGAGAACTCCGAATTTGTGCGCTGTTTGGATTATGTAACCAAAAGCCGCCACGTTACGTCATGGTCTTGTGAACAGGTGATTTTCTTTTCTCTTGGCCAGGGGAATCAATTTTCTTTGTGCGTACAGCTCATACTTCATGAGTCGGATGCTAAAATCCCCTGCGGTTGCTAACTTCCAAAACCATATTGCTCTCGAGGGGTGTGGTTAGACACGATAAATGATTGTAAATGCCGAGCGCATGTCAACCAAGTGTCCCGTCTTGACCAAATGAACAACGATCGAGCTTGACACAGTTCCATTCCGACCCTGTGTGAGCCAGCGTCGACTGCATACGTGGGTCCGTTGGGACAACTGCTTTGTCGTTCGACCTACGTTAGTACATAAGTCGCACTGGAATTGGCAGACACTCATATATGTGGTCAACATATGTAGTTTATCTTTGTGGTAGCATTGGATGTTTGGTGAAGTAGGGGACACGCATCTTCGCTGAGCAGCAGTAAACGTGAATTTCACTGCTACAGATAAAACTCTACTGTACCTGTCAACGGCGAGGTTGCCTTGAATGGAAATTTTATAAAAAGCATTTTCTTTTTCGTTTTTTACATTTTTGTTGGTTTATTCTGTTCTTTTCATCAATACAGAAAGAAGAAAAATGTCGCGAGATGTTAGCATTTCGCTCCATCTTCTCAGTCGCTGACTAGCAGGCACATATATAGCACATATATTTCGTTCACTTTAATTACGGTCGATAAACTTACCAGGATAGCCATTTTCCAGTAAGGTTTTCCTTACCAGTTCTATTTTATCCTTCAAAGTACCTTCTGAACAGATGCGCCTTACTCTCTGTTGTAGACTGCGTACGAAGTTACGTTTTTGATAGAGTGAGACACAGCTATGAAAATTTGTGTACTGTGCACTCCATGTTGCTTTTCCATAGACTTTTATTTTAATAGAACCAGCTAGATGAACATTAAAGATCGGAAGATAATCATTACCCTATGGTTCAGCTGTGAACTTAACTGACGAATGTGCTGTGTTGATTTCTGGCTCGATATGGTCAAGATTTGTGCTCCCATTAGCCACACAAAAGATGTCATCTACATAACGGTGATTTCGTCCAAAACAACTTATAACCGTAGATAAGGAAGTTGTCTTTAACTTGTCGGTGAAGATGTCGGCGAGAACAGGTCAGAGGGGTAAATCCATAGTAACATCATAGACTTGGCGGTAGAATACGCTATTAAACAAAAATTGTACATTTCGTGTGCATCTGAGTGTGAGTTCTTTGAGATATTTCTTTGAGATATATTTCAATGTTGATAACAGAAAATCGCTTGTTAGCATGAGCATGACGATTTTGGTTACGTGATCCAAACAGCGCACACATTTTAATTTCTCTTAGGCTCGTTGCCCAAACACATGACTCATCCACCTTTCTGTTTGATCCTATTGAAATGGTTTCATATAAATGTGATTTTAAAGGCTTGAAAAGGATTGAATGGAAAACATATGTTCGCTTACATTGTGTGTTCTTAACCGATGGGCATAATGTATGGTGTGATACGTTCACTCGCCTAAAAAAAGATGACTTGGTTTAATGCGGTTTGAGGGAACGTACCATGTTCAACATTTTGCACGACCTGAAGACATTTGCGCGCTGCGAACGGACCCATACTCACGTGATCCTCTTGTCCAGCACTGGTGGGCAAACTATCGACGCTGGATGGATGACACAGTACTTTGTTCTCGGAAACTGTTGAGAAAAGTCAGACGTTGTGGAAATTTTAATTTAAAATGGAGGACATGTAGCAAGGTTCATTTTTAAAACAGTGCTATTTGAGCAAAAGGGGAACAAGATATTTTACGATCTATTAATATAATTTTGGCATATCACATACTGCATCAATCTAACTATCCTTGCCGTTCTATGCTAACTTTATCTCAAAATGATCACCTCATGGGACATCCACTAAAGGTGAAGACCCAGAACAGCCACCTTGATTGCCGGCATCACTCATTTACAGACGGAGTGTGCGGTGTATGGAATTCTCCTCCATCTGATGTAGTGTGTGCTCCTACATTTGAACTATTTAAATCGCAACTTGATAAAGGACTGGAACACTTTGAATATCAATATCCGAGAGTGACCATGCGCATTATTATCATTGTTATTTTGTCTTTGTGAAGTTACTCAAAAGATTCTGTAAAAATCCTATGGGGCATGATAAGTTTTAGCTTTGTTAAATCGCCCATAATAAAACTTTGACTTTGAATTCAGCCGCTACTCTTCGGCCAACATTCACCAGCAGATCAATATTATACACGAATGTGAAAGAAACATTGTGCGAGTTCACTTCATTAGAGGTTACTTGTTCATTTATTTGTACCTGTGCGGCGAGTTACGTAATTCGGGCGACGAGAGAGAGAATCAAAGAATAGCAACTGATCGGCTTAGTACTATCTGATTAAGAACAGCTGGAACGGCATCCTGAGCCCACCTGACATAAACAGGAAGTCCGGCTGACACTGAAAATTTCAAAGTGATTTACGACGTACTAACGAGTAGATTAAAGCTCTTACAGCAATGTCAGTTAAAAATATCGAAAGCAGTAGCAATTCGGATGCTAAATCTGTCACCATCTCTTTGTGTATGCAAAGAAAAAACCCTGGTCAAAGCACATCATGTGCCCGGGTATTGTGTTGACCTAGAGAACAAATTTGACTGTGGCATGATGTGTGATGATGACGTTAAAACGCCAGGATTCACGGGGCGCCACAGACGATCCAAGTTAATTGACTTGAAAGAGGTCTTCCAAGAGATTCGAAACATAGTCAACGGAAAAATTGTTTTTTTTCTCTTTTTGGCTAATCCAAACATTCCTATAAGGATCTAATACGATGAACACGATGCACCAATTTCTTCAAAGACATACGTTCCAAATTAGATCTAATACCGTGAACATTATATGCAAGAAAATATTTAAATGTTCGAATCTTGTTCCTAAAATATTTGCAGTTCACATTGTGGCCCACGGAAGAGTGTTTTATTTCACATTCTCGAATACTCAAGGTTCGATTCAGGGAAAGAATAACAACAACAACAACAATTCGGTGTGTACTTTTGATGAGTCCTAGTAATGACGAAATAATCATCCGAGGTCATTTTTGTGATACTGTTGGCCGATAAATCGGGCTCATATTTTTGTTCATCGTATCCGCTCTTTGTACCGTCGGTACTACTGATAGTGGAGAATTTATCAGGTGGATTCCAGGTGACCAGTTGACTTTTGCATGCAAAGAATACGATGGGGGTTCCTTGCGCGATGAAATATATTATTTATAGACAGTTAAATCATGAAGCATTTTGTGTCACAATTCACTACAGTCTCCTAAGGGAATTGTTATAGTGACTTTAATTCACAGAAACCCTCGGGGTGTGCAAGCTTGAGATGTTGTCCTTCACCATAGATATTCTATGATACAATTTTTGAGAATAATCGATATTTTTTGACCGGACATGTGCAAATGGAATGTATGTTCTCGGTCTAGGGTGAGTTAGACAATTGAACAGTCAAATGTAGTTGTAAGCTGGGCCGGTAACTCCGCTGACAGTGTGTTTGTTATTGTTATTGTTATTCGCGCTGCACAAGTGTTAATAGCACAAAACGTGACTCCGTTCTCGAGTGACACTACCAACTGCTGACCACGGGTGCTCATAAATCCCTGTTCGATTCGACTGACTGACTAAATGTTTAACCTCCTAATGAATATCTTTATTGCCACACATTTAGAATAATTAGCTAGAAAAAGGGAGAGGAGTTATGGGTTCCGGGAAAATTCCCGATATTTCGACCAGTTTCGGCTGGTCACTTCACCTATACCTGAAAATAAATGTGTTAACTCCGTTCAATTTCACGTACATGTGTTTCACACGTTTGCCATTCCTTTTTATCATATCTACGTCGATGGCGGTGAAGATACTTATCGAATCACAATATATTTCTCTAGACATACGATACGCGTCCATGTTCATTCATTACTGTGTCTTGGGGTGTGGTCGGATCAGATGATACTTGAAATCAGTCTAAATACAGATTCACCGCCATGCGTTCAGTGTAGATGATTTGAAACAGACCACTGTCTGAATTAGAGTAAAGAAAAGCGAGTGAAAACTCATGCAAATCACACAGCTATTAACTGGACCCCAGATGACACAAACGAATCATCACATTACACCCGTCTGATATTTTGCCCCGCTTAAGGTTGGTGCTGACAAGACGGGTAGCGTATGCCAATATCGCTGTCGACGAGAAACACCAATGATGAATTTAGGTGCAGTATTATTTTTGGCATTATCACAACTTTCGGAGTGAATTGAAATCATTATTTGGTTGCGGCCTTAGACGGATAAATTTGCTCAAATCAGTACAACTAGTTAAGGACTAGAACAAGGGAATGAGCTCGTGCTTACCTAATGCGGCCGAAGTCACGTGAGCCAACATAAAACCAGAATTCAAACCTCCACGTTTGGTGAGAAATGCTGGAAGGTTGCTGTAGGCTGGATAAAAATAGAAAGAACAAGAACAGAAACGAAATTATTACGTCTGTAGCATTACAAGTATCCTTTTTGTCTGACTTTCAAAAAGGCGTCTCTTTGAACATGTGATGTAACAGTATTGTAGGAATTTTGGTTCAGACTTCATGTACCTGGAGGCAAAGGTTTAAGAGCAGTTCTTATACTGAGCAAAATGGTGAAGTACGAAAATTTTCAAAGTGAGAAATGCAGGTAATTAGTTACTCAGATTGTGGATGATAAATCAATCACTCTTGTGAAATGATTTCATTAGATGCATCCATATGATTCAAGCTATTAACAAGAGAGTGTTCAATACACCAGTGGGAGAGAAACCAGCACCCGGATATTCATGTGAATAAATTCATGTTGGACGTTAGCAAACCTCTGATTAAAAATTTATATCTGAACAATTAGAATATGTTACTCGGAAGATTCCGCAAGATTTGTTGGTTCGCTTTATGCAAGCTTGTTTTGGATCCCCTCATTCATTGCTAAAAAGTGATTTGCAGTTAGTTTAAAATTAGGGATTATATCGATTTATGTCTATCCAACAAAGTTGTATCGGATACTAGTGGCTGTGTTACCTCTTGTGAAACGACCCAGACAACATCCTGTCCGACGAGTTTCGTCCACTTGAAACATATTATCAGGCAATATCGGTCCACTTTTATAATTGGGTGCCACTTTGAAGTTGTTTATGTTAAAACAATAGTCAACAGTTTATCCGTGATTCTTTATCTTTTTATTTCTCAGGCAGAGACAACTCCGTACGAGGTAGGAAGCTATACATTCACAGTTCATTTCAAATTTCCCGTCACTTGATAAGATAACATATACTTTAAGCAATGATTTCCCCGAATAAATTTGAAAAAGGCCAGTAGTGTAACGCAAGATGTCTGTTGCAGCAACATT